CCTCTGCTGACTTCTCTTACTCATTACCTGTTTACACTAATACGCCTCTTGGGAACACAGTCCTCGTGATGTACGAATCGCCCTTGTTCCATTCAACTTCTTACCCGGCCTCTCAATGGAAGTCTTTCTAAGTATTTTTTAACTTCCTTTATTTTTTTTCCCCCTAAGCGCTTCCTGCACTAATGACTAGATCTTAACATAGAAGGCCAGGGGGAACTGATTTGTATATTGGTATTAGAATTAGTTTAGTATGGCTGGTAAAAATGTTTCAGACAAAGTATTTTTGCTTTGAGAAACAGGGGTGGTGTTATAGAATCACAGAATCCTAGCAAATGAGGGTGGGAAGGGACCTCGGGAGGTCACATCTAGTCCAACCCCTGCTCCAAGCAGGACCAGCCCCAGCTACGTCATCCCAGCCAAGGCTTTATCTATCCAGGTCTTAAAAACCTCCAAGGATGGAGATTGCACCACCTCTCTGGGTGACCTGTTCCAGTGCTTCATTATCCTCCTAGTGAGAAAAGTTTTTACTAATATCTAACCTCAACTTCCCTTGCTGCAGCTTGAGCCCATTGCTCCTTGTTCTGCCATCTGCCCCCACTGAGATCAGTCCAGCTCCATCCTCTTTGGACCCACCCTGCAGGGAGCTGACGGTTGCTATTAAATCCCCCTTGGTCTTCTCTTCTCCAGACTAATCAGCCCAGTTCCCTCAGCCTCTCCTCACCAGTCCTGTCCCCCAGCTCCACAACCATTTTTGTCTCCCTCCACTTGGCTTTCTCCAATGTGTCCCCATCCTTTCGGGGGGGGGGGGGGAACTGGTCAAAGATGTGACCGCCCCGCTGCCAGATATAAATTTTATTTTGCCACTAAAACACCAGCACATTTTTAGTTTTAATTGTTGAAAAAAATATTTTTAAACAGGCAACATGGCAGATTTCGAAAAAATACTTTCATATTTTACCTGGATGGATATTTCGGTGCTGTTTTCTTTTGACATGGTGGGGAAATTTCCACGTGTCATTTTTTCCTGTTTTTTTTTCCACTGGAATAAGTGCAGAAAAGGTAGCAAAACCTAAAGCAGAGAGAGAAAAACACTTTTTTGCTTTGTAAAACCTTTTCTTCCCATTGGAAAGCATGTCTTTTTAAGGTGTTAAAAACCAAGCAAACGACCATTTCCTTCCCTGTGATACTTTTCTTGCACATTTAAGTAAAAAAAAAAACCCTAAAAGCTGGTAAGCATTTTTCTCCATTTTCACATTTTAAATTTGATTTTCTTTTTTTTTTTTTTTACTAAAAAAGGTGCAAGATTTAAAAAGAAAGGGGGGGATAGGAAGAAACCCCCGCAAAAAATAGATATTCAATGAATCGTTTGAATCCAAAACAGACGTTTTCAGACAAGACAAAACAATTTTCTTCCATTTGATATTTTCCATGAAAAAAAATAGAAAGAAACGTTAGCCAACTGTCATTGTTATTTCCAATAACACACTATTGTTTGCTCAGTCAGCTTTGATTGCGGTTTTCCACGGAGCACGAGCGTGCCTGGAACAGCCCGCAGCGACGCCTCGGCCCTTTTCCTGCGGGGTGGTAGCTAATTCGGTACATTCGACAGAAAGCTTTTGGGGACCAAAGAGGTTCGGTGTTTGTGCAGCCCCCAGCACCTTGGGGGTCCTGCGACACATCACTAAGATTGCCTTGCACTCTCCCACTGATAGTGATTGTCACCACAAACAAAAACAGGTCAAAATGTTCCTCCTACCATGGATTTTATATTTATCAACTGTTCAATTTTGTTTCCTGTGATAGTGCCTGTCCCCCCCCTACCCCTCCTCTCTTAACCCCACAGGGCTTGCTCTTGCTCCAGGCCAGAGAGTGCAGAGAGGAGAGTCGATATGATGCGAGCTGGGGAAGTGTGGAGCCTGGCTTCAACGGCCCGCCGTACCAGCCCGCGATTGCTTAGCAAACAGCTCCGTGGTGCTCAGGAGACGGTTGCCTGACCTCATGGTAAGCACCTGGGGCACATCTACACGTGCATTGATGTGCTTTAGTTAATGCACATGAAATCTAGTACCTCCATTGTGAGGTACCAGGAAAATGCACATTAGCCTGGCTTAATGCACATTAACTAAAGCAAACGCTTTTTAAGTGATGCTTAATGCACATGAGTCTATGTTAATACAAATTAAGTAAAAAGCACTGCTTTTTACATGATGCTTTAATGTGCTTTAAAGGAGCACCAAAGTGCATGTGTAGATGCGCCCCTGGGCTCTATCCAAAACCCTGCACTTGCTGCAGAGAGGTGCCTTCATGCCCAGCCCTCCTCAAGGTTGGCACAGCTCAACTGGGCTGCAAGGAGAGCCTGGCCTTCCTCTGTTTGCATGGAAGCAAACCCCATGTCCACAGAGACTGCCCCCAGCTCGAGAGTAGGGGGGTACCCCATGCTCCTGCAATTGCAGCAGTGCCATGGGCCAGAAAAAGATCTCAAGCTTCTGTAGGTCAAAAAAGAGGGAACCAGAAGAAACGTGGCATAAGGCAGGGACCTCCCTGGTGGGGGAAGTCCTTGCTTCCTTCTAGGCTTCTAGGAGTGCGTCAGCATTTTTGCCAATGCCCTGAGAAGGTCAAGTGTGCAAACCATCCGCAAAGCAGGAGCTGGAGCCCAGGTGAGTCCCTGCCGTGGGGATGAGGGGTGGCTGGGGCTGAAAGTCTTGGCTGCAGCAGGTGAGGGATGGAAAATGTCCCACCCCAGCCTCCTGGGCAGGGCTGGGACAGGGGCTAGCTTGGGTGACCCCCTATGACCTTGCAACTCTGTGCCCCTGTGAAATAGGAGATGTGAGCAGGTCTGGGACCTGCCCTGCTCTGCACACATGATAGGAAAGGAATGGGAAGAAGAGCAGGGCTCCTCTTCTAGATGCACCTTACAAGCCACGGAGAGAAGGCTGCTCCTGCTAGGGTGGTGCCAGGTGAACTGAGCACCCCTCAGGGCATGTGGGCGGAGAAAGGCCTCATTTTTGGACCCAAGCAGAAATGAGGTGCAAGCCAGGTGCCTGTAAAGGCAAGGATGTATCTGTGCACTGGTGAAAGCAGAACGAGGCTCAGAACAGAGTGCTTTTCTGAAGGTTTGGGACCTCCGGGGTCAGGCAGCATCTAGTCCAGGACTTGGGCAGCTAAGTTCTGCCTCCATCCCTCACCAGGCACCCTACGACCCTGAATCAATGGGGATCTTCGCCTCTCTACCTGTAAAATGGAGATCGCACCCTTGTCCTCCCTCACCCAGCCCTCCAGACTGTGCAATACTCCCATACTGGGGTACATGAGACTAAGGTACATAAAACTGATGAGGATATTGCATGTTAATAAAACCTGCTGCTTTTTGAAGGGTTGGGCCCATCTATGCTCAGACACAGCTGATGGAGCAACGCTGGCTGTACAGCAAGGGGAAACAAGGATGCTGCTCCCAGCTAGGATGGAGCCAGAAAACACCTTTGGGTACCAATCCAGACTTGTGTAAGCACTTAGCTGTGGCTTCTGCAAAAAAGAAGAGAGGATGCTGTGCCTATGCCAAGCCTAGCAGCAGTGGGTGCTTTCTTTAAAGCTTTTGGAGTTGAGAGACCGCATCTCTGGAGTTATTTAAAAAGAAGTGGGGCTAGCTCTTCCACTCACCTGCAACAGCTTGAGAAAGTGATGTGGGCAACCTTTGCAAAACCACATTATTTCAAATACATAAATAGCTCATGGTTTAGCAGGTGACCTTAGAAAACTTTTTTGCGGGTTAGGAAATGGTTTGTGACTCTGTAGACCACTCTGTTGTCAAATGGTGTTCATGTGCTTTCTACCTTCCCTCGTCACGCATTTGTGAGGGTGAGCATTAGACTGGATTACTGTTACTGTGCGAGTGACGGGAATGCTGCTTATTATTAGAGAGGCCACGGCGCTCTATGGTAGGACCACGTCAGTTAACGAGCATCATCTTTTTTTTTCAGGCACGCCGTTCCCGTACATGGAGGAAGTTGGGGTTGGGCCTTGACTTAATAAAACTGAGTGGATGGGGTTTTTATTCGCACAGCTCTTGGTAGGATTGCCGAGGTTTGCTGCGAGCCCCTTCCCTAAGCACCTTGCACTGAAGCATTAAGGGGCATGATTTTGGTTTTTTGAATATTTCCATACAACAAAAAGAAAAAAAATCACCAAACCAGAAAACAGGAAACACGCAGCCCGCCAAGAGACGTCAGTCTCATTTGACTACACCTGTTCTCACCAGTATGCCTAGCTGCAGACAGCAGAGCTGGGACTAAAGTCAAGTTTCATGCATCGAGCGATGGACTGCAGCGTATGCCTCTGGCTGATCATCTCTTTCTGCTGGGCTTGGGGTACGTTGATTTTTCTCTCCTTCCACTACTCTTGTGTCAAGCGGCTGGAGTGTTGCCGAGTGACTTTTAGCTCTGCGTTTGATGTTTGCTTTCATAAACCATGATGCTGAGCAAGGCAGCTAGATGACATGGTGCCAGAGAAGAGAGGTGACTTTGTCTATTCTGTGCGCCTTTCACAGGACTCTCTAGACCCAAGGGATGGGTGGACAGGTGGATAGGAAGACAGCTCTGTTTGCAATAATGAAATGTTTTGCAACACACTTGTGATTTGTTGCAAATAATTCAGCATCAGCTACTTCAATAATCCTCAGCAATGAGACAATAATGAGGCACACCCTCAATAATAAGACACTGCCGGTCCTGTTGACTTCAATAGGACTGCACGTACTATTGCCAGACTCAATTACTTAGTGCAGCAGTACTTGCGGTTTCTTAAATGGGAGGAGAGGAGGGGCTGGTTTATAATTGAGTTTCTAGGCACTACCCAATTAATTAAGAATAATGATAACAATACTATTGACCACTAGAACTAGGACAGGAAAGCAACACCAGTAGCCACAGCCACTGGTAAGAGAAACGGGGTCAAACCGGCACAGGCTGGGCCTGTAAAATTTGAAAAGTAAGATCTGTCAGCCTGTTGATTGGCTTCGCGGGGTGGCTCAGATACTATAGTTGGGCTGCTTGGAGCACTAGGAAGTGGACTGAAAGAAACCCTGCTTTGACAAGCAGGTGAGCTAGCTGACAGCAAGCCTGTCTCATTCCTGTGTAGAAGAGAGTGCATAATGTGCAGGGCTGTAGATGAATAGGGATGTGGCTGAGAGGAGAGAGGATGTGGAAGCCTGGGATCTGTTGGTTGCTCAGGGAAGGTACATAGTGGGGGCATCCTCCCCTGACATTTCTGAGGCTGAAGGAAGAAGCCACAGTGGTCCAAAATGAGAATGAGAACATCTTTGATATGACAGAGGGCTTAATACACATAAGGAAGGCAGAAAAGGGGTCTCTCAAACAAAGTAAAAGGAACTGTGCTCTGCCAGCTCCCAAAGCAATGCCCCAAATACCAGTTGCTCCATGGGCCACGGGTGCCAGGCAAAGAGAGATTGCTTGGAAGGACCGACAGAGAAGGCTGGCGAGCAGCTACCCAGGAATTTCTTGTTGGTTTTGCTGGCTCTGCAATGTCTGACAGCCTGCCTTTTAAAATCCCCATGGGTTTTTTCTTTTCTCCAGTGGCATAATGAAAAGCCCCATTTGTGCAATCACTGGCCCAAAGCAATTGCTATTGCTTTCAAGTCAGAACCATGCCTTGGATCCACTGTCAGCTTTTCCACGGGGGAATCCCATGGTTTCCCTGCCCTTGGCTGGGGGTTCAGCCCCTTTCCACCCGTCGTGCCTGCCATCTAACTTCAGTGGATCTGCTTCCCTCTGCTCCGAGATGTCCTCTCATTCCAGGAGCTCTTTCCTGCTAGGGCTGAGGGATTTTCAAGATGATTTAATGGGGATTTTCCCTCTGGAATCCTTATCATCCTAACCAGAACTTGTCAGCAGCAATGCCTCAACCGAATACCCCGAAAGAGAAGAACAGGCTGTCCCTTATGGCAATAATGTACATTCAGTGGGTTTCAACATAGGCCTGAAATAGACCCTCTGAGCCATAAACACCAGCCCCCTCCAGTCAGAGGTAGCCACGTAAGCGGGGTTTCGTCCAGAAAGCTCCACAAGAACCTTCCCTCCAGCCCCCCCTGCCAATACAGTAAAAATTTAACTCAGACGAGCAGGTTGTTATTTGCATAATGGCCTCTTGGGGCCCAGAATAGACTAGGAACCTTCTTGTAGACTCAGAACAGGCTCATAACAGTCTCTCTGGTACCCGGTGGGAGATGTCAGCAGACTGAGCTGCTGCACGCGGGGCAGGTGGGTCTGCGATGAGGTGCCGTATTTACGGGAACGTTCCCAGTGAGGCCGCGCGGGGAGCTGGTGCTCTCTGGGGTGCAAATCCTTCGTGGTTGTTTTTTTCCCCCTTTGTTGGGGCAACCCCCGCTTGTGATGGAACGATTTCACAGGAAGCAGCGTGGCAACCCGGGCCGTTTAATCTTCCATGGGTAACGGTGACAGCCGATGAGCTGTCAGGGTTCATCACTTGTTTTTCCAGCAAAACAGTTCTTTTGTAAATCGGTACCCAGAGGTGAATATGAATCACTGCGTCCCAGTCAGGAGGGATGGGAGAGTCATCTAGGGAGACCATCAGTCATGAGCAGCATATGCTTGTATCATAGACCCATAAAAGCTGAGCTGGCGGGGATTTTGGGAGGTCACCACTCTGCCCCAGGGAGGATCATCCCTGATTTAACCATCCCAGTTGAGTGTTAATCTCATCCGCTCTTAAACACTTCCAAGGAAGGAGACTCCACCACCTCTGGGGCAGCCTGTTCCAGGCTTGAAATGCTTTCGTAGTGAGAAAGGTCTTCCTAATCTCTAGCCTACATTTCCCCTGCTGCAATTTAAACCCCTTGCTCTGTCCCCTGCGGTCATGCAAAATAGTCTATTTTCTTTCACGCTTCAAGTATCGGAAGACCATTACCCGATACAAGCAGGACAATATTACATCTAGGGAAAGTAGGTAGCATTGGGTGGTTTTGGTCAGCAGAAGCTCTCGCAATTGTTGTCTCCCCTGAGGCTCGTAGGCACAGATCTAGTCCCTTGCTCTATGGGGCACTTTGCTTCCGAGTCTAGACAAGGAGGCTTCCCCAGTTACTTTCATTCAAAGGCTTTACTAAGATATTCCTCAGTGGGGTGAGGTGCCTCAGAGCCCCTTCCCCAAGCTTTTGGCCTTACAGCCAGCTGGTGCAAAAAATCAAGGCCGAGGTCAAAGGACAGCCTGTGCCTAATAACCCATTGGGCTGGACAAGCCATTTCTGAATGCTGCTAGCATCTCCCCTTCAGAAGGGAGGCAAGTTGCATCTCCCCCCTCTTACAGATGCAAGCTTAGGATTGCTGGGGGCTGCTGTGAAAGTCTGATTCCTAGAGGCACTTGCTGAGAGTACCGCTCTTTACCATGTCTTGAATTGCATCATCTGAGACACCAGTGGATCGTCCAGCTGGGTCTCTACAACACAAACCACTGTCTTTCATCCAGTTCCCCCTGCACTGAGCCTGGTGACTTGCATTTGCCAAAAGCATCTCCTTAAATCCAGTCTTTCAAAGACATGCAGAAGATCTGCCATGTCCCTGGCTGGCTCATGCTAATGGTTAATTATCAGCTCTGGGAGAAGCTCGACCTTTATTCCTAAAACCAGGAATCTGCAAATTAGCAGCTGCTTTGGGACACATGGGCAGAGGGAGAGACATGCTACCTGCTTGGGGATTCCCCTGGCCAGCGCCTTGCCCCATTTAGCATGGAAGTGTATCCAGCTCCCAGCCCAAGGCAGGATCCTGCCAGCTCACAAACTGCCCTCTCCAGGGCAGACTGGCCTAGGAGGCAGTTTAGTCAGTGCCTCCTTCCCCTTGGCATCCCATCATCCCCCGCATCCTTGTGGTCCCCTCCATATCCAGGTACCAATGGTGAATGCCAGCTCCTGGTTGGAAGCATGTTACAGACAGGTGCTGGCACTGGTTATAAACCTGAGCAAAGGAGGTGTTGGGAGGGACCTGGGCTCTGCATTTTAGTGTCCTTACTCAACAGACCCTCCAGACAGCCCCTTTCCCCCCACGCCTGATCTAGATTGCTGTCATCTCCCGTACAGGAAAGTTCCAAGAAAAGAGCCCAGTAATCTGAGTACAGTTGGGGCAGGCAGGGACTGTTGCCTCACCATGTAAGACTCTTCTCAGAACCCATTTGAGTCACCAGGAGCTTCCCCTTCATCCCTGTCTGCCCAGTTAGGGCTGTGCACACTTGGCACAGTGCCCTCTGGATCTGAACAGGCTTTGCCAAAGAGGTCCATTTCACAGCAGGGGAAACTGAGACCCATCAGGCCTCCTCCACACCAGGGGAATCCTCCAGAGCTGCTCCCAAGCAGAAATCTCAGGAGTGACTGCAGAAGGGCAGTGCCAGGGTGGCTTCCCCCCTGCACTTCTGGGTCCGACGCATGCAAGCAGGTCCTGGAGCACTCACATGTGGGCATCCTGGCAGCAAGGGCAGATGATGGTGACAGGCAGGCCTGCCAGTGACCCTGTTTTTGCCTTGTGTTTCCCCCTGCTCAGCGTGTGCTTCACCCCACATTTTATCCTGCTCGCCATCAGATTCGGTTTCCTCTCCATTCTGCAATGCAAGCACTCCTGTGGTTGCCCTCAGACAAGCAAAACAGTGCCTTATTTCCCTTTCTGATGGGGACAGCTCAGCCTGCACACAGCCCCTGCACGGTGCAGGAGCCTCTGCCACCCCAGATCATCCCAGTATAATGAAGCATTGCAACTGGGGTCTGCAAGCAGAGCCGTGCTGAGAAGGGAGCCAGCGAGCGGGAGGTGACAGGAGGGGACAGTGCCATCAAGAGTGATCACTTCCCACCTGTATCGGGACTCCTGACCTGGAGCTTTGCACCCTGGGGCCAAATCTTTCCACCTGCATTGACACAAAGCAGCACTTGGCGGGGCAAGCCCGGCAATGGTTTCAGTGGGGGCAAAGCCAATGGAGCAGCATGCATACTCACCAGCTGGGACTAGGTCCCTTGAGCACACTGGAACCACTCTAATGAGTGTCTGACCCTTTAGACAATAATGGGGCTGTACAAGTGGGGGCTGTTCCCGGTCCCCTTAATGGTACGATGCTGAAGGACATCACCTGGCATCCTGGCCAAGTGGACAGGGACCAGCTGAGAGGAGCTGGGGATGCAGAGGGCAGCAGGGACTGTAGCAAGCTCCACTACCACTCCATAAAGGCTCAGCCAGGGCAGCCCTCTACATCAGCTCACACCTCCAGCAAGCCCCAGGAAGGAGAATTGCTGGTGCTTCCAAGAGCTCTTGCTACCTTTAGAGCCGAGCTGTGCATCTGTAATCCCCCATGTTCTCCCCATGAGCAGAGGGAGGAAGGTAATTCCTCTTAGGTTAGATATAAGGAAACATTTTAGGTTAGATATTAGGAAAAACTTTCACACTAGGAGGGTAGTAAAGCACTGGAACAGCTTACCCAGAGAGATGGTGGAGTCTCCATCCTTGGAGGTTTTTAAGTCCCGGCTAGAAAAAGCCTTGGCTGGGATGATGTAACTGGGGCTGGCTCTGCTTGAAGCAGGGATTGGACTAGATGTGACCTCCTGGGGTCCCTTCCCACCCTCATTTTCTATGAGTTTGAGTTTTCTTTGAAGACCTCAGCCTCCAAACCTGGGGGACACTCTGCACTTCCCCTACAGTCACAGCATTTGGAGGCCTCATGGCTTGCAGAGAAAGGCTTGGAAATGCAACCTGGCGATGACCCTATGCAGAAGGCAAGGGAAAAGAACCCAAATGTTGCTCAAAAAGAGAAAGCTGCTGATTTCTTTTGATCCAGTCTCATGAATCTGGGGGCAGGGGGACCTGATTCAGGATTCTGAAGTGCCTGGGAGGGGTGAAATTCATGTGTTTCCTGGACAATATAAATGAGATTCACGCCCTTTGCTCCTTCCCCCATCGCAGGTGCCAGCCCTGGGACTGTGCGCACGGTTTTTGGAGCCCTGGGGAAACCCACCCTTCTGGACGTGACACCAGATCTCCAGCAATTAACTACACGCTTTGAGAAAGTTGTGTGGAAACGGGATACGTCGGATCCCGTGACAAAGTCCATCATCCTGGATTATGCGGGAGGGAATTCCAGCATCAAACTGAACCAGAGCATGAGGTTCCACCCCACGAACTTCTCCCTGGAGATCTTGGAGACCTCCAGGCAAGACGCGGAGATGTACACGTTTACCGGGACCCGACAATACGAGGAGAAGGAAGTGCACCTGCGCCTGGAAGTGTACGGTAATGAATGTAGTGCTTCTGGGACCTCTTCTGCACCCTGGCTTGGCGGCGGGTCTGCCCATGACCTGCCCTACTGAAATGGTGCCAGCTTTCTCTGAACACGCTCACAGCCACTCACCCCCACAGTTTCAGTCCCTATCGCCCTCTGCCCTCTGCTCCCTGCCCTGTGATCCCTATTCAGTCCCTTGGCACTGACCTGCCTCCGAAGCACAGACACCTCCCTCCCTTCCCACTGCCCTGGGGCAGTGGGGTTTGCTCCAAACCCCAAAGTCGTGGGCAAATTACTCTCCTAATGCCAATTAACTTCATTTGCATAAACCCACCCATGCAGCCACACAAACCGAGCAGCCAAAGGATGCCATAGGGCAGTGAGGGGTAACCTTTTTGGTGGGTCTTCCATAAATTAGCCCCGCACCCTCCCTGAGTACCACTCTGATCCCTGTTCCTTATCTGACCTGCTGCCCTGCTTTCTGCTCCTTGCCCTGTGCCCCTTTACCTGATCTGCTGCTCCACTTTTTGCTCTCTTCCCTGTGTTCCTTTACCAGATCTGCTGCTCCACTTTCTTCTCCCTGTCCGGAGATCCCTTACCTGATCTGCTGCTTGACTCTCTGTTCCCTGCCCTGTGATCCCTTACCAGATCCACTGCTCCACTTTCTGTTCCCTTGCTCAATCTGCTGCTCAGCTTTCTGCTCCCTGATTTGTGCTCTCACCTACCCTGCTGATCTGCATTTTGCTCCCTGCCCTATCTGCACTGTGCTGCCTGTCCCCTCCCCAGTCTGTTGCATGCCACAGGTTGGCTGCCACTGCCATAAGGTCTTGACCTTCCTGCCTAGCAGGACTGCACTGGGGTTGCTGCTGCTGAGATGAGAGGCAGCTGCCAAGAAGGAGCAGGATGGGGCCCAGCCCAGCTCCCTCCGCTCTGCCTGAGCTAATTTGCACCATCTCCCATCACGCCCCACAGAGGAGGTGTCAAAGCCCATCATCCAAGTCAGCAAGTCCCTGAGCAACAAGAGTTGCACCCTGACCCTCAACTGCACGGCTGAGAGAGGCGACAACAAGACCTACTGCTGGAGCTGCCCCAAGCACGATGCCGCCTGGCCTTGCCTCCACAACGGGAGCCTGTTTAACCTGTCCCTTAACCTCTGGGAGACCGACCGCACCTGCACCTGCACTGCCAGCAACCCTGTCAATCACTACTCCACCCACATCGGTGCCTCGGCCGAGTGCAACATCGAATCCAGAGGTAAGTTCTCTGGGAAGGGGAGGCAAAGTCTTGCCCCAGGCAACAACTGGGGGCCAAGAATGGCAGCAGTACCAGGGCTGGGGGCTGAGCACTGGCAGACCCCAGCCCTTTTCTGGCATAAATCAGCTGTGCCGGGGCAGGCCCTACATGGCATGCAGTATGTGCATCTGAGGCAGACGGGCCCCTGTCTCCAGGCTCTGCATGGTGGTAGAGAAAGGCTTTGGCTCCATGAAAAATCATGGATCGAGGCAGAGATCTCACACAGCAGGCACTGAAAGGGGGACCATGCTCAATGGAGACCACCAACTAAGCATCCAGCCCTAAGGCCCTCCTCGAGTGCCCCGATGGGAGGTCTAGGTGTTTGCACTGGCAGGGGAAGAGCTGCATGGGAGAAGTCACCTGCACCCCCCTCCAGCAAGGTGCTGTGGACCACAGCCACTGGGCTGCATTTCCCAGAAGGCTGCACCCCATCCAGCCACCCCATCCACCCCTTCCCACTGCAGGGGAGACCATTTGCACACAACGGTACCATACCGCTGGGCACAGGCCAGCTCTTTCTCACTGGAGCTGGCACCGCAGCTCACCGGGGAAACTGCCCACAACCTTTCAGGAGGTGATGGATACAGAGCGGACCTGCCAGGTTTTGCTGTGACACCGTCCCTTTGCAGCTCAGAGTGTCCCAGAGAGTTTGCAGTCCCCACAGAGCCTGCAGCAGCTCCCAGGGACCTGCTCTGGGCTGTGACCACACTTTGCAGCTGCTGTCCGTGGCTGAACTCCTGCACCCAGGTTTTTGGCACCTGCTTGTCCAGCCAGCAACCATAGGGCTGTATCGTCACAGACTACTGAATGGTTCGCACACCCAGAACGTCACAGGAAAGCCCTTGGCAGCTGCTTCCTTCTCAAAAACCCAGGGCCGGGAAGCGCGCTCTGCTCTCATTGGGGTTTTTCAGCCATCTCCTGTGCAACATGGGGACTTTCATGGCCTGCGTGAAGGCTGTATTTAATTCTCTTCTCAGTAGTTTCTGCTCACTCGAGCTGACACATCCAGTGGTCGCAACCCCGCTCCCCACCCTGCCCCTTCAGACTCCAGGCTTGAAAGAGCATTTTCTCCTGATTAGCAGAGCCTGGGGGAACATGAGCAGTGCCACACTGGGTCGGACCCATGCTCCATCGATCCCAGTAGCTTCTCCCCAACATGGCAGAAATGGATGCTATACAAGGAAAGCCCTTGTCTCCTATTCAGTACCTTCCCTGACATCCAGCATTCAAGATACCAGGCAAAACATCCCCAACCATTCTGTTCAATAGGCATTAATAGATCTATCCTCCGTGAGTGCCTCCAGTCCCTTGTTGAGCCTGGCTCTGCTCTCTGTCTCACCACTGCCTGTGGCCAGGACTTCCACAAGTTAACTGTGTGTTGCTTAAAACAGGACATTCTCCTGTTCCTTAAAAAAGGACTTTAACCCTGGGCACTGCACAGACCCAGGCCAGAAGGCAACCCCGCGGCAGGGGTAACTGGTCATCAGGATGGCCAACTGGCAACTAGCAATGAAAGAGCAACTATGTAGTGCCGGGGCCTGGCTCCTATGCACAGACTGTGCTGGGAGCAAAGAGTTGTGTTGATTCCTACTTCACGCAGCCTGTATGTGGGACCTCAGCTGCAAACACGCTCTAGCCCGATGGACTTGGAGCGGAGTCAGAGAGGGCAGGGCCTGGTGGAGCAGAGCTTCCTGCACCTTCTGCTGATGAGACATCTCCTGTCTTTTGCTTCCTGCTTCACAAAGATTACAGATAAATTAAATGTTAAGAGCCACAAATGGTCAGATAGGTTTAACCATCTCTGTGTTGTGCCTGAGAGCTTGTCTATCATCTCTCCCAGCTAAGATAGTTGATCCAATATCAGCATGAAGCCCTTGCTCAGGGCATATTCCCTGGAGCATCATGGCTGCGACACCTCTCTAGGCCTGCCCTAGGAACAGGCAGATAAAACCCATCAGCTATAAACCATCAACTTTTCTCTATAAATTGCCTTACAGGGTCCGGCAGACTCGAGGTGGTATACATCCTGCCCATCATCCTGATAATGGTCATCTGCGCTGGGCTTGTCATCTGGTACTGGGTAAGACACAGAGGTACGTGTCCTAGGTTGCCCCCCTTGCCAAATGTATTTGGACTCCCCATCCCTGTGTTGTTTCCCTGTGATACAGATGGGAAGCTAAGCTTCATTTCCCCTCCTTTATAACCATTTCTAGCCTGAAGCTTTGGCTAGCCAAAGTGCTGCTCCAGAGCTGACACTATAACCTTTGCAGAAGTTTCTAGCTTAGACTGGACTTTGAGCATCTGGTACTCAGCCGTGGGCAGAGAGAAATGACTGATGTGGGTAGATCATGCTGGTTCTCATCCAGTCTGGAAAGTCCTCCGTGCTGGTTCACACATCTTGTACATAGCAGCGTGGCGATGTGGCCGGCCACATGTTAATTCTCACAGGGGAGCTGCGTACCGTGTTTGATCTTTCCTTGCAGAGAGTAGAGCGGCATATTTTTCTGCAGGCCCCTGGTGTATAAGGCAGGAAGGAAACCATACACAACTGTAACCACTCGCACAGGCATGTGATTGGGAGGAAACTTCCCCTTTGGGCTCTCTGCTACAATGAGTTCTTACCACTTCATGGGGACCCCGGGGGGACTCCAGCCGTGGGGAGCAGTGAGGGGTATCTCCAGAAGTACCTCGTGCTGGTGCCGGGGGAGTGCCCAGCAGAGCACTGGCATGTCACTGATCTGCCCCACTGCTGAGGGAGGGTATCTGCCTTGACCCCATCTTTGCCGTGATGTCGGAGCGGCGGTGCTGCCCGCTGAACAACTAGACAGGGAGGACCTTGCCACTGTTTTGCAGTGCATTAGTTTGCCTTTGGCTGAAAAAGGCCATGAGGGCCCTGAAAAAACTGTGAGCTGAATGTAACCAGTGCCTGAGTTTGCAGAGAGCCTGAAACAACAGCTCAGGGTGGGTGCTGACCCCGCATTTCAATGGGTGCCACCTCCAGCGCTTAGAAAGCCACAGATTAAGACTCTCTCTGGATGGTAAGGTAAATGATGATACGCAGCTCCTCTAGACCCTCATGAGACCAGTCCCATACAGGTAGGGAGAGGAAGAGTCACGGGATGAAGATCCACCCCGGCCTTCCTCAAAGCGAGTGTGGAAACAACAGGCTAGCCTCAGTGATGTATAACTTAAGAGCTGTGGGTAGACCTGGCTGGGAATCAGACCTCTCTGCTAAAACTCCAGGAAATGCATTTCCCCCCATACCTGCTGTAACACAGAAAAATATGGACTTTGGGGTGAAATATTTTGTCTCTCAAATGAAATAGTCATGATTCAGTTTGGTGCCCTGAGCTCTGACACTGCTCAGGGCTCAGACACGATCTCTCATTGTAAGAAGTCTCTCATGCACGATGGGAGACGTCCCACCCAGGGAGAATAACGGGGACACGAGGCATCTGGACTATGAGTCCCATGAGACACAGGTGCTGTTGTGAAAAGATGTGTTTCAGGTTTTGGCCAAGACAGGGTGCGTCAGGTATTCAGGGCTTCCACAAAACATCGACGTTTTCCATGGAGGGCAGACTCTTTTTACTGAAAATGCTGATTTAGTCCCAAACTCACTTTTCTGTTGAAAAAATAGGGCTGGGGGGGGGGGGGGGGAGAAAGGAGGGGGTTTCCAACCAGCCCTACCTACTCGTCCGTGCATATCATGGGGATAGGGTAGGTTTCCCACTCCTAAAAGTTGGCTCAGCTGTCCAGAGCTGAGAAACCTCCGTCTTGGGGCATGTCCACCCTGCAACTCAGCTGTGATGCCAGCTTGTGCAGACACAGTTTTCAAATGACCAACCCCTGCCCATGAAGTATTCAACAGCAAGATCCACAATGGCATGGGCATCTCTACGAACCCAAGGCTCAGGATGCAATATCATCATGTTGCTCCCTTCCCTCTCAGCAATGGCTGTAATCATTTTTTCCCAACCAGGCCGAAAACAGCAAGTGCCGCTGAAGGACGAGTCCACCATTCACACCATTTACGCGCAAGTTCAGAGGGCAGAGGTGAGTTGAGCTGTTTGCTTTGCAATGCAAGAGCTCTGCTTGGTCAGCACTGCCTGGCATGCTTGGTTATAGCCCCAGATAACCTCTACCAGAATTCATCCAGGGAAAAGAGCTAGAATAGGGGCCCAGGCCATCCAAGATCCTGCTTCCCTTGGGTTTGAAGTGGAGCATAAAGTCTCTTGCCCAAGAGGCCTATTCTCCCCATGTGGGCCTGAGTTTATACAGTGACGACTTTCCTTGACATGCAGAAAAGTACATCCCATAAGCTCCTTCTTGCTCCCTAATGCTGAGTTTGCTGCCACAAAGGTTTCCCCTGTACCTGCTTCTTGGAGAAGGGGCAATCTCGAGCGAGACGTATGCCATGGAGCTGTGCCTGTCACAGGGCTTTGTGCTCCTTGCCAAGCTAAGAAGGAAGAGACACCTCAGCCTCAAACAAACTTTACTCAGTTTTCTCAGCACCCTAAACCCCTCCCAAAACACAGCACTATATGGCTCAACCCCCCATAGAGTCAGAGGAGAACAGGGCTGGAAGGGATCTCAGGACGGCTCAGCTAGTCCAGCCCCTGCGCAAGGCAGGATCCTCCCTATCTCAACCATCCCAGTCCTAGATTGTTTGGGGGGGGGGTTAAACCTATCTTTTTTTTTTCTAATGGCTATTTTCTAAACAAGATCATCATTGCAAATCCTAATGGCTTGTTTGGGAAAACGTCCAAAAGAAACACCCTGGGCATTTTGAACTGCTTGCCCTCTGCATCCCCTTCTTCGCCTTTTCCCTGAATCCCTGCTCACCCAACTGTTGGCCCCAAGACCTTGCCTGGCTCTGCTCTACTCCATCCCAGACATCTGTACCCCGTGGACTGCCCCCCAACAGGGTTTGGACACATGCAGTTCAAAGGACCTGCTGTAAAACCAGTTCAAAGGACCTGCATTGAGACCTGGGGACTGTCCTAAGTAAGTCTAGGGCAGTGGTTTTCACCCTTTTTTCATTTATGGACCCCCCAAAAATTTCAAATGGAGGTTCAGACCCCTTTGAATGGCAAGTGTGGGTTTTCAGCTACTTTTGATTATAGTAATTTTCATGGACCTCCTTAGACATAGTCTTGTTGATCCCCAGGGTGTCTGTGGACCACAGCTTGAAAACCACTGCTCCTGGGAATCACTCTTCTCAGTGCATCCCTGACTGTTTGTGCACACTCAGTAGCCCGTGAGCAACAATAACCAGGAGAGTAAAGCTGGGCTTTTCTCCTTCTTGAGAGTCAGCAGAGGTCCTGTGGTCACGAGCAGTCCTCAGTGACCCTCGACAGACTCTCTCTGTGCCTTTGTGTTCTCAGCCACACACACCCAGCTTCTGCTGGATTCAATCTGATGAGTATGCAGTTAAGGCGGGAGTCAATATGATGAAGATGCAACCTGGGCAAGGAGAACCCTCTGCTCCCCAGTCTATCATGCCTAGCTCTTAAACAATGACTGCAGGGGTCGGGAGCTCTCAGTGCACCCCTGCCAGGTTCATGCCTATGCAATGCAAGGTAGCCAGGGTGCAGGTATAATGCACCTGGTTCCTCCTCCAGCAGCAGCTGGGGAGCTGCTCTAGCAGAGCAGGTGCACTTTGGCCACTGGGTGTCAATAGAGACTTGCAGCTGAATATGCACAGGCCAAATAACACACCTGGACCTTCCTCTGATGGTGATGGACCAGTTTGTGTTTCCAGCAGGGGGTTGAGGCTGAACCTGGCTTCTGGGGCCAAGGCTGGGGTGGGCTCAGGCAGGTGCCTGGGGAAAGCTCATGCTCCAGGACCCCACATTCCCGGGGGAGCTGTGGCCAGGCTTTTCCCCAGCACCAGTGCTCCTGCCCCGCTCCCCAAAACGTTCCCTGCTGGAAGGACTTGGGATGGGACCCTCCAGGTCCCACACAGGATGCCACCCCACTGCAGACCTCCATATATCAGCTTGACACAATCAAGCCTTTCATCTAGGGGAAATGGTTTAAAACCCTCCACCCTGCTCCTTCACACTGCAAGAGTCTCCCCCCAACAGCCCCTGGGCTCACAGGTGGTTTCCTGGCCTGTATTTCACATAGACCAGGAACAGTCAACCCTGGGCAGCCAGCCCAACTGTGCAGGATGTGGTGTGCCGTTACAGCAGGCTGCCGTTTTGCCCAGCTCACATCTTTTGCTCTTTGCACAGAAGCAGAAAGCCGTGTGCACTTTCCCTTCTGCCGAGGACCACGCTTGCACCACCATCTACGCCTGTGCCATGGGACTACCTCCAGACACGGCTCAGGTAAGAGGCCGTCTGCATGCGTTCTTCCATCTTACAGGGGAATCCTCCACTCCAATGTCACAGCTGCCACCAGCAACGCTGGTCAGAAAATTCCCCATGGGAATGTGACCGTTTCTCCGGGCACGTGCCATTCAAGTCCACTCCTGGTGGAGCCCATGCAGGTTTTGGGGAGAACCACTTCAATGTGACCAAGACTGGCACCTTCGTGGGTGATGTGGAAACGGACCTCCTCCCTGTACCGGCTGCCCCATTATCCCAGCTCCCCAGATATGTCAATACTCCAAGTGTCCGGCAGCCCAGGGGTCTGCCCCATATCCCCACTTTTGTGCTAGGGAAATGCAGTCCTTTCCTCCCACACACAATCTGGGCTTCTGGGCTATTCATCTCCATTGGGAAGGAAAAATGAGGCTCTGTTTCACCCCAAAAAGCTTTGATATTCTTCCTGCGGCACATTTTTTCCATGATTAACATGAAACATCACTATATATATATATATATATATATGTATGTATGTGTGTGTGTGTGTGTGAGTGTGTGTGTGCATGTGTGTGTATGTCTAAGTGTTGTTTCATTTAAATCATGGGTAAATGTGGATCTGGGGTTACTTTTTTAAAATCGAAAATGGGGGTTTTTTTAAATCAGATAAAAGCAGGATCTATGGTTATCAGCAACACCCTTCTGCAACCAGTCACCTCATCGCAGCATCGAGGGGCTCTTTGTGGACAGGGGTGATGGGCATGCAGCAAGAGACCAGAGTCAACACGTGCTGAGCAGAACATGAGGGGGGAAAGATCCACAGACCTCCTCTGACTTCAGTGGAGTTACTTCTAATTTACACCTGGGGACCAGGTGCTGCGGGTGCAGGAGGACACCAAGGCCTGGAGATGTGGCATGCTAACACCACTGTGACAGGCACAGGGTTTGTGCAGTCACGTACACAGCAGTGGCATTTGAAGCAGACAAATCTGAGTTTAGCTGCTTGCATTAGGCTGCAATTATCACTTTGTACCACTTGATGGCAGGGACAGATAATAAATGTTTTGCTGAATGGGCTATCCCAGGATAAGCAGTGGACATGCCACCTTCCTTATTCCAATGCTGAAATCAGTAGCAGCAGTCACAAAGCTGCCATAATACATGCACCTGGATTCATGCTCCTGCTTGATTTGCACATTCACTGCCTTTTCTCCCCCTTCCCTCATGTCCATCCCCAGACCCAGACCCTGGGACCCACAACAGTTTATGCCAGCGTGACGTATCCCAGGAGCTGAGACCTTCCCAGGCAACATGCAAGATCTGAGACATTGGGAGGACACAGATGGACTCTTACCCTGCAAGGAACCCATTTGTTCATCTTCTGAATTGGCATCCAAGTTCCCTAGGAAGTTATCAGCTATGGTCCATGTCCACAATGTACAGAGCTATGAGCTAAAACTGCAACCGGTGAGACTGAGATTAGACGTTAAGGGAAAACTCTTCTAATTTCAAGATAACTCAGCCCCAGACAAAGCACTCCAGGGGAGCGGGGTTGGACTCCCCAGCACTGGAGGCCCAAGGACAAGCCTGACCAACCTTTGCTGGGGGCAGGGGAAGGTACTAGTTGGATCTGAAGGACCCTTTCTGAACCATTTTCCATGGTCTCCTAAGAGAGGGGACCAGGCAATACCCTTTGGCACAATTCAGCTGGATGTTGAAAGCCTGCAAGTCACAGATAGCACATAATAGCACAACTCTTATGCATGACAAGGGTCTTTGCTACTGATTGTACATGCATGAGTCTCAGGTACTAAGGTAGTGGCAGCCGTTGAAAGCCTAGGGGGGCTGGACAGGCAGGTAGATGAGTGCAGGAGAAGGGAGGATGACCGCCAGTGGGACTGGACCAGTGATGAGAGCTAGGAGCTGCAGAGGAGAAGGCAATCACTGCCAGCAGCCGGACTGTGTCAGGGCCCAGGTTTTATGTCAAGGGCTGAGCCTGGGCAGAAGCCAGCTGTCAGGAAACAGAGGAGGATGGTATATGTTCATATGTCAAGGGCCACAAAAGCACGAGGCCTCGATCCCAGGATGCTCCTTTGCTCTGCGGATGGCACCGCAGTGACACGGGCTTATACCAGGTGGGCACCTGGACCAGGAGAACTGTCCCTTGGTCACCCTGCTGCTTTTAGGTAAGACCTTCCTGTCCGTCCCAGTATAACTGCATGGATTCTGCTCTGGACTTGGCTAGGGTTGATTCCAATTCAACCAGCATCCTACTAAAGGTCAATTCTTCCCAGGGTACTTCTGCTCCTGGGGTGAAATTCTCCTCCCCAGGGGTCTAGCATGACGATGGGGCATCCCTTCTCTCATGCTGTGAGGAACTATGCAAGATGTTAAATCATCCAGCAATTCTCTATCCAAAAAGCTGGATATCTGGGAGATTTGCTCCAGTTCCCACATCCTTGGCTCAGGGGAGTGGCTCTTCTCCCACAAACCATGCACTGCTCTGGGTCTGGCTGTCTCCGCAAGTCAGGTTTACCCCATGACCTCTTCAGAGCATGCTGTCATCCAAAAAAGTCCAAGCCCAGGACAGAATCCCTCACTGAAGACGGACAAGGATATTACAGCATGTCATGGCCTGATTGGAAAAGGCTTTTGTGCAGAGGCAGCACAGCATAGCAAGAGGGTCGGGTGCCTGGACTCCCGGGTTCTCCTCTCAGCTCTGCCACTGGCTCTCTCTGCCACCGGGTTTGGGTCGCTTCGCCTCTGCACCCCTCTGTTTTCCTCCTGCCTGTAAAACAGAGACCGCAAGGCTGACCTGCACCACACCAGGAAGACCCGCACCTGCACATCACTTTGGATGCCTCTCCAATCAGAGTCGCTCTGGAAAGCCAACTCATTTGTGCAGCACGCCCCGACTGCGTGTGCAGCTAGCGGAAAGGGAAGGGCTAATAAAAAGCTGAAATAAAACAACAGAGAGCTATTTGAGTCTTTCCTTTTCAGTACTACAGGAGAACAGGAATAGACAACCTGATATCCAAGGCATGGACTGGCTTCCTCTTTTCTGTACCTTCTTCCCCTGCAACGTGGAAGTGCTCAGTTTTGTTCTTAGCAGGAGTTTCAGGGTCAGGGTGCTCTGGGCTTGCAGGTGCAAGGGCTTGCAGGTGCACTGGCCTGGTGATAGGAGATGGTGGGCAGGAAGTTGCTACCTGCCCCCCTGCCCCCTATCCTCAGGGGTCCCCATGCTGACACAGACCTGCCGCTCCCCATGCTGTGTGGGAGGTAATTTTCCAATGTCTAGGCAAGAGCTGAGTCATATATGCCTCTGCGACATTTATGGTTGCGTGCACCCACATATGCAATGGTCACCTACACCTCCTGGGGAGGATTCAGGGTCCTGCCCAGGTCCCTCTAGTCCAGCAGTTGCTGGGCAGTGATGATTTTCCAGGGGCAGAGCAGGCTCCTTCCTAAAGGCAGCAGAAGGTCCCTGCTCAAACCCTCTAAATCCAATCACAAAGGTCAAATATGCCCCATGGAAATTGTGGCTCTTGGGTCTGAAATGTCCTCCCCCACAGTGAGAACTTGGAAAAATGCGGGTTTAATAACACAGCTGACGGGCAGGAGACGCAAGCAGTCATTATGGTCAAAGGGCTGACTTCCCCAGGCAGCTGTGGGAATGGTAGGGGAAGGACTGGATGTTAACTTCTGGGAACAGCAGATGCTTTTTCTGCAGCCCCCCGCAGTAAATGGGTTCGGGCTGAAACACCTCTCCGCCTCTGATGCACCTATGCAAACCCCATCCTGTGTTGACCACATCCTCTCTCTGGACAGCCAACCTCCCTTGACCATGACAAGGTTGAAATGATGGTGAGTGAGATAAGCAGCCTTTTGAGTCTGGTATAAATATCACCAAAATGTCACCAATGAATGTAGCCTATTTGCTTTGGCTCTGACCCTGCTTTGCACTAAAGGCTGTTGGCGCCCTGTAGCAAGGGCCCGTCCCAGGGATGGTCATGATGCCCTTGGTGGCTACTTAACCCTTGTCAACTTGGCTCCTTTTGGGTGATCTCCCCTTCACTTGCCCACCATGCCTAGATGTTGTTATCCAAAAAGGGAGGCTGTCCTAGGGCTTCCCAAGCCTGGTCTCACCCTCAAGACCACACGTGTTCATGGTCATTGCCTTAAGGGTGGATGACACGGGCTCCATCCTCCCTGGTACCCACTCCCATGCCTGCCAACATGATCCCTTCCTGGACTGTGGGCTCCCAGCCCCCTCTTGGGCTACAAACTCCTTGGCCCCCTGGGTCACTGACAATGACCCTCTGTCTTTGGCCCCTGGTCGACTCCTGAGCCAGTTGAGATCTCTGGTTTCCCAGGCCCTGGCAGTGGTCCCTGACCTCCAAGCCCATCTCTGGGCCCTGGTCTTGCTCCTGAGCCAGTTAAGATCTCCAGGCTCCCAGGCCCTGGACAACTTTCTGGGCTTCAGACCTCTGCCTGCCACTCTCCAGGCTATGGGCTCACCTGCCCTTGTTCTTAGGCCTACCCCTTCCAAGACCTGCTTTGCCCCTCGTGGGTGCAGGGCTCCTTTGGCCCCATTCTCAGCCCTCTTCGTGCCTCAAACTCTCTTCCTTCATCACATGCACCTGCTGGAGCTGTCATAACAGACCCTGCCCAGCTTGACTCCCTGATGTATTTCCCCACTCTTAAAAAAAGCCTCAAATATATCATGACACATGGCAGCATGCAACTCATTCAGACTTTGATTACAGAAAAGTATGACAAGGGCCATAAAAGCCCGTTGAACAGGGAAGAGGAACCAGAACTTCCCGTTGTCTATTCCAAAGAGAGCACTTGACTCGTGTAATCAGAGTCAGGAGGCAAAACAAGAAGTGTGCAAGCTTGGAAAAATATAGCATGTACCAGGAAGATCAAGCTCCATCTACCATACTTTCCCTGGGCTTCAGACTGGCCCGAGACGATACCTTTTCTTAGCGATGTTGTCAGATGAGCCCCATAGGAACGGGGCATGTTTGACTTTCTGTACCAGGGCTCTTGCCCTGCTTTGCCACATACCCCCATGCAGCCTCAGCGTGTGCAAGGGAGCAGGGTTGGCTCTAATGGAGCATCCCCTGGCAGGTTTTTAATCCTTATTTCAAGGGAGTTCCCCAGAAGCAGAGCAGTTGTGTCAGCCCTGCAGCCCTAGAAATTGGCACAAGCAGCAAGGGGGAGGTCCCACTTTGATAGAGGAAATCATAAGGTGTAGGGCAGGGATGGGCAAAATAAGGCCCATGGGCCCAGGTGGTTTCATCCAGCCAGTTAATTGTACCCTGCCCAGCCCCCACACTTTGCTCCCACCCTCCTGTGCCAGAGGGCCATGGCCAGCAAGCCCAGCTTTTGAGGAGGCTGCTGCAGCCACTGCTGCAGCTGCAGGGGGGGGCCCGC